AGAAGAACTCTTAATCCTACCTTATATAATTTTGGGGTGTATCTCCAGGTGTGTGTGTGTGTGTGTGTGTGTGTGTGTGTGTGTGTGTGTGTGTGTGTGTGTGTGTGTGTGTGTGTGTGTGTGTGTGTGTGTGTGTGTGTGTGTGTGTGTGTGTGTGTGTGTGTGTGTGTGTGTGTGTGTGTGTGTGTGTGTGTGTGTGTGTGTGTGTGTGTGTGTGTGTGTGTGTGTGTGTGTGTGTGTGTGTGTGTGTGTGTGTGTGTGTGTGTGTGTGTGTGTGTGTGTGTGTGTGTGTGTGTGTGTGTGTGTGTGTGTGTGTGTGTGTGTGTGTGTGTGTGTGTGTGTGTGTGTGTGTGTGTGTGTGTGTGTGTGTGTGTGTGTGTGTGTGTGTGTGTGTGTGTGTGTGTGTGTGTGTGTGTGTGTGTGTGTGTGTGTGTGTGTGTGTGTGTGTGTGTGTGTGTGTGTGTGTGTGTGTGTGTGTGTGTGTGTGTGTGTGTGTGTGTGTGTGTGTGTGTGTGTGTGTGTGTGTGTGTGTGTGTGTGTGTGTGTGTGTGTGTGTGTGTGTGTGTGTGTGTGTGTGTGTGTGTGTGTGTGTGTGTGTGTGTGTGTGTGTGTGTGTGTGTGTGTGTGTGTGTGTGTGTGTGTGTGTGTGTGTGTGTGTGTGTGTGTGTGTGTGTGTGTGTGTGTGTGTGTGTGTGTGTGTGTGTGTGTGTGTGTGTGTGTGTGTGTGTGTGTGTGTGTGTGTGTGTGTGTGTGTGTGTGTGTGTGTGTGTGTGTGTGTGTGTGTGTGTGTGTGTGTGTGTGTGTGTGTGTGTGTGTGTGTGTGTGTGTGTGTGTGTGTGTGTGTGTGTGTGTGTGTGTGTGTGTGTGTGTGTGTGTGTGTGTGTGTGTGTGTGTGTGTGTGTGTGTGTGTGTGTGTGTGTGTGTGTGTGTGTGTGTGTGTGTGTGTGTGTGTGTGTGTGTGTGTGTGTGTGTGTGTGTGTGTGTGTGTGTGTGTGTGTGTGTGTGTGTGTGTGTGTGTGTGTGTGTGTGTGTGTGTGTGTGTGTGTGTGTGTGTGTGTGTGTGTGTGTGTGTGTGTGTGTGTGTGTGTGTGTGTGTGTGTGTGTGTGTGTGTGTGTGTGTGTGTGTGTGTGTGTGTGTGTGTGTGTGTGTGTGTGTGTGTGTGTGTGTGTGTGTGTGTGTGTGTGTGTGTGTGTGTGTGTGTGTGTGTGTGTGTGTGTGTGTGTGTGTGTGTGTGTGTGTGTGTGTGTGTGTGTGTGTGTGTGTGTGTGTGTGTGTGTGTGTGTGTGTGTGTGTGTGTGTGTGTGTGTGTGTGTGTGTGTGTGTGTGTGTGTGTGTGTGTGTGTGTGTGTGTGTGTGTGTGTGTGTGTGTGTGTGTGTGTGTGTGTGTGTGTGTGTGTGTGTGTGTGTGTGTGTGTGTGTGTGTGTGTGTGTGTGTGTGTCCGGCGCTAGGGAGGGCTACTTTGCATAATTCCAAAAAATACAAATTTCCTCAATCTTGCAAGTTGCACGCGCGAGTGTGGTCGGAGGCAGGGAGGGGTCCGAAGGACCCAAGCTATCGGGAAGTCAAGTTTCTCATGCAAAGGCCGCATTCCAGCGACCAAGGCCCGCGAAGCGGGTTTTGGGCGCTGGTAATTAAATAATTCTCGTAACAGTTTAGAATTTGCGATCATGATAGAATTTACCACATTATTTCAATGCTGCAAATTTTGAAGAGATTATGAAAAGCAATGCAAGTTTTCATTTGGAATTTTATAAAACATTTTTACAAAAATGGTTTTTTTACGAATTACGGGGGCGGTTTTCTTTGTAACTTCATATATTAACAACACCCTAACCGTACAATTTTTGAAAACGTCAAAATCATCCTGAAGTACGGGCTAGCCAAGTTTCAATTTCGAATTTCGATAAAAATGTTTCAAAAATATCACGATTTCCTTTCCACAACCCGTGTCCTAATTAATTGTATTCGACCGGCAGTAAATCCATTTTAAATAGTTTTTTCGTATTAATCATATTTAATTAATTCGTTCCACTCAATTATAACATCAACACACACCGGTTAATGACGAGCGGGGTAAGCGAAAATTGCAAAAAAAAATAAAAATAAAACTACCCGGAAGAAAATTTTCACGACAACGGGGGAAGACGGGGATTACGGTGGGGTTTTGAAAACGAGCCAGAAGTTAACAATTTTTGATTTTAATTGTATAAATTTAATTTCACATTTTTGAGGCCCAAGATTCTTAAAACACTAAAATAGGATAAATCAATCTGCTTTAATGAATAAGGAATAGATATGTCTTTGCGAGTCCAGCAATATTTTTGATTTTCTTTAAAGATAATCTTATCGCATTAAAATAGAATTTAAACTCGTGATTTATATTTTTGGATTTTTCGCGTTGATTTTGTACACTTAATTTCTACAATATGCAGATTCAACCAAAAGTTTCTCTTTTCTTATTTAAGGAATTATAATAAAGTTATGATTAATAAAGTTCGGTTAATTGTATGAAAAATATTAATCGGACTTATTTACTTTATTCTTCATTTTAATTTGAAATTTGGTGAATTTCCGGTCCAGTCGGACAAAAAATTTTGTTTCTTCGAAATAAATGTTTCAAAAAAATAATTGATTTCGGATCTCTACATTTTGTTAATACGTTGCAAGCTCTGCTCCCTGCCCAAAAAAGTTTACAAAAATAATCACTTTTTAATGCGAGCAAGTAGTAAATGAGTATATACAGAAGCGCTGAAGCCAAGGAAAGGTATCATTTTTAATGTAGAAAAATAATAATAAAATAAAAAATATAAACCTGGTCCGGCGACGATTTTCCCGGCCTCGTCCTCCTCCAGGCTGCCCGTCTGCCGAACCGAGCTGCAATTAAAAACAGATAGATATTTCCAAGCACAAAAAAATTTATTAATATAATTATTATGTATTATTTTTTCCCATTCCATTCAATTAACAAATTATTGTCAGATTCTTATGCTAAGCTATTTTTAACTTTTCTAGAAACATTTTTTCGGTGTGTGTTTTATATATTTGGATCTTACTAGCGCTTTTTCGAGCTACAATTAAATAAATACGGTGTCTACAAAATTTGATTTAAAGAACTATCATATTTTTACTAAGATATACATACATGACAAGTTGAATAATGCCCCTATACGCCCCACTGTCCTCGCTTTTATTTGAAACATTTTTGGGCAAATGACTCGCAGCCTTAAATAAGGATCGTATATTACGAAAATGCCACTAAATTTGTTGATTTACAAATGTGATATGGATTTAACGGCTTCTTTTCGGATGGGAATACTACAGAGCATCTCAAAAAAACCTGCCAGCTGCCGGAAGTAGTGTCCGATTTTTACGATTTGCATTTTACGTATCTATCGGGGGCCCTCGGAAAGATGCATCCTCCAATTTTCGAAAATTCGGCATTTCTTGCTAGGTTTCCGGCATTTGTCATGCGAAAGTTCCATGTTTTCCGCCGCAACCTCAATTTAATCAGTTTCTGCTCGCCTAAGCTGTGTTTACTCAAACCCCCTAAACCAGAAAAGGCGTAAAAATTCCGTAAATGTGGTTTCTTGAAAACCCCTATCATAGGAAAAGGATCAGAAAATTGGCCGGGTCCGGAACAGAACTTAGTGGGCGCAAGAAAAATTCGGGAGTTTCGCAATCCAAAATAAAACACCTCCTCAGTTTTACGAATGCATTAAATAGATACCTAAATCGTAAAAATCGGGTCCCCCATTTCTAAAAATATCGATTAGCACATTAACTTGCACGGTTTTTTGAAAACCCATGTTTCATGCAAATAGCGCTCTTGAAATGCCCTGAACACGCTAATATGCCTTTGTTCAACTTGATTTCTAAAAATTTGATAAATATTTCATCCTAATTATATCTGTATTTTTTCTGAATCTAAACTAGGGTAAGGTTCGGCATACGATACCTTGTTGTGGAATGTTGTTGCAGCTGGCTGATTCTCCTCATCTTAGCCGCCCGCTCCCGCTGCTTCAGCGCCACCATAATTCGAATGTAGACGAACAGCACGAGCACGCATGGGATGACGAATGAGATGATTGAAGAGCTAAAAAATTCTTTGTTTTGAGCAGCCAAGAACACTGTACGCGAAAAAATAAGTTGGTTACATTAAATTGATGAAACATCTTTTTGGAAAACGTAAATTTTGAATAAAATATCTTTCTACCAATACAGTACTATTGAAAGGTAATTCTATCGGACCAGGAAATATAGAATTTTATATATGAACCAAATTTGTTGAAACATTTTTTAAGAATTTTGATACGGAGGCGAGAGCAAATTCTTTAAATTAAATTTATGAGTTATCCAAAAGTACCTCACAATTAATTTTAATCTAAAAATTTTTTTTTATTGAACTAAAGGAACATTTTTCTAAAAAAAATGAAAATTGCGCGGAATAGGTTAAAATCTTGTGGCGTCGCTTGACGCTAAGGAAACCGTGCTACATTCAAATTCTTTGGATGGCTATTTCTTTTATTAAAACGTGTTTCCAGAATTTTAAGAATTTCAGGGATTGGCTTTCACGACCGGCTAAATCCATTATTCTGGCATATCAAGAAAGCGGGATTGGCGAAAAAATATTTCCCAAATAGTCCCATTTCTTGAAACATTTTATTTGGGGCCCCTAAACTATCGCGCTAGTAAGGTCAGAAAAGCCTATACTTTATTGCACGGATTCAATTCATCCAGTTTAGCATAATACTAATTCTTCTCAAATTTATGAAATTTGCGAAAATTAATTTTATGACTGAATTGTTAGACCGAAAAAATTATTGGCCTGCCATTCCTGTCTTGAAATTGTTCACGCAAAACCATGTATATTGCCGAGGAACGTCAAAACATCTTATTTTTAACAATTAATAAATTGATGCGGAGAGACACAGAGAGAGAGAGAGAGACAGAGAGAGAGAGAGAGAGAGAGAGAGAGAGAGAGATACGGAAATAAGATCTGCGCTTACCCGATCGAAAAGGCGGCGTTGTAAAACCGGCATTCCCGTTCGCTAGCGTTCGCCGGCCGCGTGTTCATCCCTAAAATATAGGCTGAAGTTAATTCCTTGGATGGCACCAATAGTGACGTGTCAGAAATGCAGTTACTTTTTCTAGGAGATCAAGGGACATGGCGAAACATAGTTTTTACCGGAATTTTGAAAGGTTTTTGCTATATACATTTTTGGAGCTATTGATTGACGTTGTGGGGGGCATCTTTTTATTGGAGGCTTTTTCCGACCAAAGCTGGTCTCCAAGTCTAACAAGGAGTCGTTTTTAGGTGATATTGGAGTTTTTGAGCGAGACCTAGCTAGTTCGATAGAGAAAAAAATTCTGAGCAAGATGTCGTTTTCCAAATCTGCTAACCGTGTATTGTATTCGATAAAAATTAATTTTAATGAAAAAATTCCGTGGCGCCACGCGGCCACAGATGGATCAGGCCCGGGACATAGGCCGCAATGCGAACCAACACCCACATGAGATGGTGGCCTAGTGGATAGTACAGGCGCCTATCAAACTTTTGCAAAATTATGCTCGCGGGTTCGGAACTTTTCTTGATTAGCTGTTTTGCTTTTTGGTTTTTAACGCTATTGAGGCCATATTTGGCATCACAGAGCAAAAAGCAAAAGAGTTTCACTAGCTAAGTGTCGAACCCGAAGGCAAAAAAAAGATAAAACTTGTGAAGCAAATGCACTACCAATATGCCACGCGATCATGCTGGTTCAAGGGTCCGAAAGGGGCTATGTTCACGCGCACCCCCAGCCAAACCTGCGGATCAGCGGAGAAATGATGGCGAAATTAATGATATTTAAATCAATTTTTATCGAATACAATACACGGTTAGCAGATTTGGAAAACGACATCTTGCTCAGAATTTTTTTCTCTATCGAACTAGCTAGGTCTCGCTCAAAAACTCCAATATCACCTAAAAACGACTCCTTGTAAGGTAACCAAGCCAAGCCCAGCCTAATCATAACCTAAGCCAAGCCTAGGCTTCAGCCCGGTCCTAGCCTAAGTCGAGAACAAGCCTAAGCTAGGCCTAGACTAAGTCTATACTAAGCCTAAGCTAAGCCAAAGCCAAGCCCAAGCTAAGCCTAACAAGGGAAGGGTAACCGGGACGGTACCCCCGGGTAATCGGCTACGGAGAACACATTGAGGTTGTCCAGTTTTCCTGCCGAGGCTTGTGGACGGAGATATAGCACTTCCGGAAAATCATGATTTGCATGCGAAAAATTAGAATCCGGGGAAGGTTTATTAGGCTCACTCATCAGTATGGAATCACCGATCGAATGGCCGATTTCTATCGATTTCTCTAGCGATTGAGCTTGGTCTCGAAGGGATTTGCCGATGACGCCAAAAGGGCACTCCTTGTAAGCCTAAGCCCAAGACTGGGCGCCAAAAACAGATGCCCCCCCCCCCCCAACATCAATAGCTCCACATTTTATACGATTTGTATCGATGCTCAAACGTACGCATTGGATAAAGTATTTTTTACGGGCTGAATGATGATAGTTGAAACACACGATTTTGAAAGATACAATTTGACGAAAATTTTGAAACATTTATACTGGCTAAAAGTACCGGCATGTTTGTTTCGGCACGCATAAAGAGTGAACTTGAGGAAAAAACGACATGTTCAAAATGTTAACATCGAGGTTGGACCCGCGTGAATTCTATGTCGTAATGCCCTGTAAGGCCGACTTCTTTGACCTTGGTGAATTTAGAAGAATTACAGCTACTGTGCTAAAAAATGAATCCAGAGGATTCCAGAAATGGTTTCAGAATTGTATCGCGCATTTTCACGCCCAAACTAGGACAAAAAAGAAGATGCGGCGCGGTCGCGATAGGGCCAAATCCGGCTAATTGTCAGGAAATCAACGCTCAGGGCATGGTCCGGACTTCTTCTTCCCTTCTAACGGCGTCGCCACCAGAAGTAAAGAAATGCAGATTTTCAGGATTCTTTTGTTTTCAAAACTGTGGAGAAAGATGAAGAAGTGGAATTGAGGCCAAAATATTTTGCATTTCAGCGCCATTATTTGAAACATACGGGATCTTCTCTAATATAACCTCCCCCCGCCCCCAAATTTTTTTCTTCGAAGTTGGCTTTAAGAAGTAAAAAAACGCCAAAAACATTTTTTCTTAACCTTCGTGATGTGTTCCTGTGTGGGTGTGAGCAGTTTGAACCGCCAAAAATGTCGTAATGGATGTCGTGTTGCTCAAAATCACGGAAAATATCGCCTTCCCTCTAACAGAACCCCCTCTCCTGAGGTGGTTGCAAAAATATAAACCCCCGGGGTTATATTAGAAAAATACGGTAATTTCACATCGGGTTTTTAAAAACTTTGCTATATCAAAACGAACCGAGCACCATTGGACTGGCAACGAGCACCGAGATCATCCAGATGATGCCCAGAATCACGAAGACGCGCTTGATGTTCTGCGCCTGTCTGGAGTACTGTATCGGACGGGAGACGGCGCGGTATCTGAAAGAGTTGTATTTTCGAACGAATTAATTTTTGAACGTTTGGTTAATTCTTGATCTGCAGGTATGCTAGTTGGGTTATTGACGGAAATAAGAAAATTTTCTATCGAGCTTTGATTAAAACACAGATTTTCAAAAATAAAAAGGAAGCGGAAAAGCTATTGACTCTGGCCAACTTATTAAAATTAAATCTAGTAAAATTTATAAAAGGATTTAGCTCTTTTCTAAAGCAAGGATGAAGTCACTAAAATTCGAGTTCTCAATGAAACACACCGATCCTCAACAACGGAATCTATTAAATAAGATGCAACTAAAGGAGTCCAATCAACTTTATAAAATGAATGAAAGTTTAGATCGATTTAGATTAATTAAATTGAAAAGGAAAATTTATAAAGTGACATAAGGTTTAAAAAGCTCTTTATAAATCAACGATTAAATCACTAAAATTATTTTCAATCAATAAACCCATTAAACATAAATAATACCGCCCAGTAAGAAATTAATTGTGCCAATAGGCAAAAATATTGAATTTAAAAAAGCAATTATGGAGAAAAATATTAAAATAAATTATTCAGAATTAAAACTGACGTAAAAAATATGATTGAAAGGCCTATCGTAATAAATCTCATAAAAAATGCAAGTTCTCTATAAATCCAAGATAATACCATTGCCGAGCTGAAACGTACCGCGCAAATGGGATCTAATAAACCGATTTGTAATGTACGAATCAGGCCAAATCTAGTGGAGACGCATTACATATAGTGATTAAACCCTGTATCAGTATTTTCGCTGACACATACCGATCGAACGAGATAACTGCCAGCAGCAAAATACTAGCCGTCGAGCAGGCGACATCACTCGCCATGTAGATGTCACACATCAAGTTCCCCAGGTACCATTCCCCGTTTTGGACCTGAAAATAGAACTTAATAAATGTTATTTATTATTAGTAATATTTTTTAATGTTATTTTAGCTATTTTACTCCATAACCGATTTTAGAAATTATTTAGATTCCTTCTAGGCACATTTATTCCGGAAAAATCTCTCCGCCAGGATTCAAACTTTTCTGAAACAGGTTTTTCGCATGTTTTATTAATTCTATCGCATACGAATTTTTTCTTTTTTCATAATTTTCATTTTTTCGCTAACGACTTGAAAATAAACTTTTTACTAATTAGCCAGATTTCCAAATCAGGAAAGTCCATAGATGATTGATTCCCAAAAAATTCTTGCCAGATATTTAGATTTTTATGAAACAGGTTTTTCGCTTTTAACCAGGTTTTGGATAATTCTATAGCCTACTATTTTTTTGCTGTTTTCTTTTTGACTCTCGATCTCAAAAATGCATATTTTTAGAGCGCGCGTCTGTAAGATTGATATTTTATTATGTTCCCATCATTTAATCAATTTTAGCTCATTAGCCAAACTTTCAAATACCGCAAGAATCCGCAATTTAGATATACTTTTAGATTTTTATGAAACCTACTTTTATGCTCGCTAATAATACTTCTGCTGTTCAATAATTTTTGTTATTTGGGAGCACAACAAACCTCAAGTCCATTAGTCCATCAAAAAATCTCCTAACTGGGTAATTTTTTTGACACATTTAATTTTTCATCAAAGCCACGCGACGATTCTAGAATGGTTTCATTTTAACTCCAAACATGGACGACAGGGCATGCGGCGCGGTCGCATTGCGGCCTTAGCTGGCTTTTTGCCCATATCTTTGGGCCTTTAAAGGATTTTAGGGAATGGATCCCACCGTTTTACTAAGCAACATAAAAATAAAAATGTTTCGCGAAACTTTAGCATCAACTTTAAGGCATTTATCACAGTGGTGCGTCCGGCAATTTCATTGCAAATTTGATCCATAAAATGTTCTCCGGAACAGCCTTCCTTCGAAAATTTTTATGATTTTGACCTTGCTAATACCATTCATTAATTATAGCGCCCAAGACTTTGGTTGTGGTTTTTCCGAAACATTTTTTTAAAATGTAAATTTGTATATTTCTTACAAATTCAATTCCGGAATTTAGTAGAATTTACTGATTGACCTTCTTAGATTATACGCTTACATTTCTGGTCTCCTATACTTTGCAACGAAACATTTTTTTTACAAAAATAGCTTTGATAGGTAATTTTTGAAGCGTTTAGACATACTTATCCTACTATATATAAAAAAATAGTGTTTGTGTGTGTGTGTATATTTGCATGCAACTTCCGTGAGTATGTACCGCACCTACAGGCTCAGGGGAAGGTTTTTAAGGGTCGTATGATACGTCATTAGGTGCGTAATGGCGCCGAGATGAGTGCACACACATAAAAGTTTGGAAAAATTACTGTTTTCGCTATTAAAATTGAGTTTTTGTAAAGATATCGAGAAACCTCTTTGCTAGGAGGCACTTTGCATGCGCCGGAAGTGGGGTAAGCCTATATAAGGGCGTAGAAGGGGTTATTTTGATTTCTTTGCGATCAAGGTCCTGGAAGAATATGCATATTTTTGACTACCATGTGCTTTAGACGGGTATTTTAGAAATAGGCAGCTTTTTGTCGTTTTGATTTAAAATATAACAAATTTGAAAACGTACATGTACGTATTATTATAGTACATAGACGTATTATTATTAATTTTATTCCGGGAATGGAGTAGTTCGACGATTAGCTGACCACTTTTTTGGCCTGCTATTCTTTGTCCCGAAACAGACTTTTTTGGACACTCCGCTGTGGTATGTAATTTTTCAAGCATTTTCCAGATAGTTATGTTTTAGAAATAGACTGTTTTTCATTGTTCACATTCAAAATTCAAAATTCGAAAACGTACATGTACATAGACGGCATAGGGCATGACAAAGAGGGCGACGAGCAGGTCAGCCACCGCCAGCCCGAGGATCAGAAAGTTGATCGCGCTGTGGAGGGCCTTAAATTATCACGTTTAATCGATAAGAAAAACCCTAAAATCGAGTTAAAACAAATTGTATCCAAATTATTTCATGACATTTTCCAAGGATCGAACTTTTCTAATAAAGTAGTAATAAAATAGTTTCTAATAACAAATAGTTTTAAACAATTGGATATTTTAGCGTTTTTAAATCGTTCCCAATTAAATGCGGTTTCACATCGATTTTTTTTATCCATGAAAAACTTCAAGGCTTTACAAAATGTTATTAATCAAGCCAGCATTTTTCGCGAAAAATTTCTAGCTTTAAAATACTTTTCTATGTTTTTAAAATAGTTTTTATGCAAAGAAATGTGGATAAATTCAGTAATGATTAAAATAAGTATTACGTACGTTATTAGGTATAACTCGACGCACGTTAAACCAGACATTTTCGGGTTTTCAAAAGTGAAATATCAAAATAATAAAAAAAATAAATTAAAAATAAACTTGCCCGGAACCGTAGCACGGAGACGATCACCAGGAGATTGCCGAGGATCGTGATGATGGGGATGAAGACGAGGAGAAGACCAAAATAGTTCGTCTGCGAGAGGATCTCCTGAAAAACAAGGGAAAATCAGCTTTAGCCAAGGTTTGACTTAATTAGTTGTGCATAAGTAATACCGGATTTTTAGAGTGGAATGAAACATTTTTTATTTACAGTTATATGCCTAATCATACAGCTCGAAATGTTTTTGAATTTGCCGTGACAAGAAACATTTTTTCGAACAAAATTGGCTATGGAATGTCAATATTCCAAACTTTTTGCTTCATTTTCTAGAACAATCGGATATCTAGCCTTTAGGATTTTTTTAAAGAATTTTTGTTGTTTTCGCTTTGGTAAAGGCCAATTAAAACGAGAAATTTCAACATTATAAATTTTCGGCTTGACTGATTTCACTTGCTAGAAAAAAGGATTTGACGAGGGCGTTCAAAGATTTTTCCTTTGATGTCGATGGATGTCGATTAAAGATATTATCTTTCTTTCGATGCGGCGCGGCTCGAAACATGCTTTTCGCAAAAACCAAGAGGTTATGGGATTTCAATTTTACAAATATTCGAATCATCATCTCTCTCCCTCACTCTCTCTTCCTCGCTCTCCCTCTATCTCTCCCTCCCTCTCCCTCTCTTTCACACTCAGTCTCACTCTCGCCCCCTCTCTCTCTCTCGCTCTCTCTCTCTCCACTTACATTCACCCTATCCGGCAGCAGTCCTCCCCCATCATCATCGTCAGGTTCAAAGAATATCGACGGGTCCCCGGGATCGAGCAGGGTCCCGTTTGTCCGGGAGGACATCCTATAAAGAAAAGAAAGAATTAGATTATCTTCTGAAATTTAGAAAGAGAGAGCATGGAGAACATCTAAAAGAAGTCGAGAACATTTCCGAAAAATGTTTCAAGTTTATTATGGTACCGGTGGAGGAAAGGGTGTGTATTAAATTCAGAATTGAGAATGGTACCGCTGTACCATGAAAAGGGCGCTCAAAATGTAATAAATAAGATTATCGATTCGTGCATTTCAGGATGGTTGAATATGTTTCGACTAAAGGCATACTCTATCACTTGATATTGGCGCCAATTGAAGGGAATTGAACTGAAGTTTTTCGGCGATCTGATCCGATACCAATTGAAGGCTTTGATTTGGTGGCAAAATTTTGCAGCTGATTTCGATGAAGGGTGAAGTTTAGTTTGAATTTTATATTACATTATTTTGGGCTGCCATTAAAACCCTTACTATATTCTTCGATGCTCCCCCAAGGATCGACGACACATTAATTCTTTAAACCTTCGGCTTTACTTCAACCTTCGTGAAACATTGATTTGCACAGAGTAGTAGATCACTCACTGGGCGACAATATTAAACGTATTTAGTGAAATTATTTGAAACATGGTCCTCGGCACACAGACAAAAGTTTATTTAAAAATATAAGTGTTTGTGGTACCTTTATTAGTGTCATTTATAACAATTCCGCCAAGCCCGGTGGTTAAAACCTGTTTTTCGGTGCTTGCTGGTGCTCCATGGCACTTCAGTTCAAAGAATTTTGTAAAAACGCAAGGTTGTGGAGGAATCGACGTTTCGTGAGGCAGAAATTTGAAATCGGAATAGGAAAGCATTGTTTCTAAATTGTCATTTTTTCTGCCTTTACTAGCTGTAAAAACTTTAGAAATCTTTAAATTATAAAAATACAAAAATATGAGTTTTCGAAAATTTTTTTAGCTTTAGAGAGTTTTCCCACTTGGAAGATCGCCACATTTTGCTCAAATAAAATTAGAACACTAACGAACCCCCTCGTCTTTTTCCCGCTTCTACCAAATTCCGCTGCCGCCTCCCCCCCTGATAATGCAAAAGATCCTGAATATAACCTTTATCTTAATTATCGAGTGATTTGCAAACCGAAAAATCACTCAAGATATTTTGAAGAACAGGGACTTGAGCAGGGTGTTTCACAAATTTTCACAATCCAAAAACCTTTGTAACTTTTAGTATTTCCGGGAAAAAGTTCAAAAAACCTCGAAAATCGCTGTGAAACGTCGGCGTGAAATGGGGAGGGTTCAGCCCGACTCAAGGGTCTAAAAAGGCCGCGCTAACCATATCTCCACTCGGCTTCTTCTTTTCCACTCCGCTCCGGGGGGGGTGTCCATAGTATCCCTACGGAACATTTTTGGGGGCCGTCGTCGCCGCCTCGGCCCCCCGCCCCCGATAAATGCGTGTAATTTGTCGCCGAGCGGAATCCGGGCCACGGAGGTCGCCGTGTACCTAGTCAGAAAAGGGGTCTCAACTCAAAAAGGAGGAGGGTAGAGGGGTTGAAGTGATCAAAAATCGGTGGGTAACGTTGCGGAGAGCATTTGGGAATTCGGTACTTTGGCATTATCCGGGGGTGTTTTCTTTTTTTCTTTAGTCCAGAAATCTCTATTAACTTAATATTAAATTTTTAATTGTTTTTGGTTTAACTTAGCTATATTTGTTAGCTATATTTCAAGTCGAAAACATTAAAAAAGAAAAAGTGAGATTGCCATTTTACTCGAAAATTAGCCATTTCTTGCTCAAAAAGATCGATAATTTTTACTTTCCGCGTTTAAATGTGTAGGTTTTATGTCTAGGAATAGCGAAAAACAGTTTACAAGACTGCTTCCATTTATACCCGAAAAATTAGATCAGTTGAACCCCCGATAATGCGAAAGCACCGAGAAATAATAAACATTCTATTTGGCTGATTTGGACGCCAGGGCAGAGATTAAGTTATTTTTTATGTCGAATCAGGCGTAAGGTCTTTATTATGATTTTCATCGTTCCAAAAAAAATTAAAAAATAATCCATCCTAAAGCAAAATCGTGCAAGACAATGTTTCATAAAAAATTACACAGCCGTGTGTTGGTATCCTCACAATCCGTGGCTGATTGTCTAGGAATTGATTGCTCTGCAATTAATTTTCCGGATAATTCGTTGGTATCGTGCAAATGCCGAATACCATTCGAAAAATAACGATAATACATACATTATAGTATTAGGATTGATGTTAGAAAGTTATAACATAAAAAAATAACCATAAATAAACTCAAAAATTCTTGTCATGCAAAGAAAACGTTTCAAAATCGTTTTACCATGTGCGGTTAAATGTTTAGGTAATATGACGTTCATCGTAGCTCAAAATTTTTCGTTTCTATCGAAATAGAAAATGATGGAAAAAAAATTAAAAAGCAGAGAATTATATTTCGACAATCAAACATTTTTGTCAGTAGATGATAGGCAAGATAAGGGTGTTTCAAAAATCCTTAAATCAGCGCTATTTAGAAAATCTGGCAATTTTGACCCGTAAGTCGTCAAAACTCTAAAATAGAACAATAGAAATAAAAGGCATTTACCAAACTAAAACGGAAAACCAAAATAAATACTTATAAAAATAACCAGGAATTTTGGACCATGAAAAATGTTTCAGAAATAATGAGAAAACCGTGTTTACTTATGGCGCCAATAGGCTATCGAAAGCATTTAAAAAATAAAAAATTTAATCATAAAGACAAGCAAATTACAGAATCTTGAAAAATCATCAATATAGTGAATAAAATGTATCACTAAATTCCGATAGTCGTAAAATAATTCGTCAGGAATCCGGGGAGTGGATGCCCAATTCTGGGGGCCCACCAGTGGTGTAGATAGGTGTCCACCGGAGGGCCCCAATTTTCGCCTCAGGTGGCGAGAGAGAGAGAGAGAGAGAGAGAGAGAGAGAGCGAGAGAGATGGAGAGAGCCGATTCTCTAGAAATGGGTAAATGGGGCATATGGTAGGGCCCTCAACGAGATTCCCCCTAGCTGCAGTGCCGAAGGAATTCTGAAGAAACACTACAAACCGAATTCCGTGGAAAAACACATTAAAAAAATTTTTAAAGTGTTTTAGGAAACCTGGAAGGGCATTTTTTCGAAAACCGGAACTTTAAAATAAAAACTGGTCCAATGTAAGAAATAATCCTACCAAACTATGCAAAATTATTGAAAACAGTAAAAAAAATATGTTTCCAAATAGGTTAGCCACACGAAAATATTTTGCTTCTTAATGGTGATTGAACGTCATCCGGGAAATCCATTCTTTTACTGTACGGTAATCGGAAAAATCAATTAATTTTGAGTTTTAATTTAATGTTGTCTTCTGGGCCCTTCAGGTTGATAACGACACATGTAAAGAAATCCAAATCGTTTAAAATTTACTGTTTGTCGCTTTTGATCGTTTGATCGTTTAAAAAATTAGTATGTTAAATTTGGAAGGGCAGGTTTTTCGGGAAACGGAAAGGTTATTCCCGCCTATCAATATAACTATAGACAATCTTTGGAAAAAATCAGTGCAAAATGCAAAAATTTAGTAGTATTAAAAGTGCGAACCCTGAAAAAAAATCGGTTTCAAAATAGTTTAGCGACCCGAAATTATTTTTTTTCTTAATGGTGATCGAACGCCCCCCGGGAAATCCATTCTTTAACTGTACTCTCAATGAAAAAATTAATTAAAGACACAAGTCCCAGATTGTGGACGAACAATATTTAAACGACTAAAACTCGTTAAAAAACACCTTAACAAAATATGAATAGTCACCAAAAAAATTGTTTAAGAGAATTTGGCAGTTTGTCAAAATTGCTTGTGAGAATCTCGAACGGCTCTTTTTTTATTGGAAACCAGCCCAAAAATCTGCTTTTTTCGAAATTCGAAATCTCTAAATTTGCTTATTCCGGAAACCTAAATGTATTTTTGCCAAAATTGTGATTTGTATGGGTTTCGGATTAGCTTTCGGCCAATCTGAAAGGTCGCAGTTTTCAAAAACGGCAAGCCTCCTTCAGCGCCCGCGTTTTAGCGACGTAATTAATAAACAAAAAAAATCTTTGAAAAATCGGAAAGTCAGGAAATGCGAGTGAACGCGTAATACAACCAAAAAAATCTGTTTCAAAATATTTTAGCCACTCGAAAATATTTTTCGTCTTAATGGTGATTGAACGTCATCCGGGAAATACATTCTTTTACTGTACGCTAATCAGAAAAATTAATTAATTTTGAATTTTAATTAAACTAAACCAGACCCTTTTAGGCTGATAGCGACACATAAAATTCATAAAAATCGATCATTCAGCGTAACTGAATATCCGCTGGCGGCAAAATAACTGTTTCAAAGCGATTTAACCAGTTGTCAATTTTTCTTGAGTTAATCTTGGAACATTTTGTAGTGGAATCGCGGAAATACTGCAATGCTCAGTTATGCGAAAAACTATATAGTATGCGAAATCTGTGCCTCGGGTCGCTTTGGAATGTAAAAAAAAATTCTTTGCGCCAGTTGCCCGAAAGAAGGTTGCAAAAATACTACCGCTGAATCGATTACATCGATTCAAAATTGGGATAAATAAAAAGTAATTAATGGATGTAATCTATTACAAATCTAAAAATTGAAAAGTTGGGATCAGCCGAGGTCTAAATAGAATTTCAAAACCCCGGATCTTTTTTTCCGAACAAAAGAATGTTTCAATAAATTTTGCAGCACAGTGAAGATTTATCGTGATAATTCTGGGCTCTTTAGGTTCATTAATTTTTTGATTGTTTTTAATTAATGGCAAATTTCCGAGTAATTTTTGTCTGTTCTTTTCATTATTTTTTCGCTAGAAATATAGTTAATGATTTTAAAGTATTTTTATTACTGCGGTTATAGGAAAAAATCAGCCCCCTACCGATAATGCAAAAGAACCAAAAATTTGAGTTCACAAAAAGCTCTGCCTTTGACTTGCTTTTAAAAAACGCTAAATAATAAAGGGACAAGGGAATAAA